CGAGGAGAAAGCACAAAGACATGGATCTTTTCATGGACCTGTAGTAAGGGTGAGTGCTGCTGCCGTTCATCTCAACCGAGTACATGGATCTTTTGGTGCCTTCGTTTTTCCTTCGCGGAATAGGATTGTTAAGGTTCGGAGGCGATTTGGTTTGCATGTGTAAAATGTAGTCTGTAATGGATGTGTGTGTATTGTATGTAGATTCACTTAATATTGCTGTTATATTGCATGTATATTGCTTAATATTGCCTTTGTATTGTATACATAGTCTATGTATATTGCCACCCTATGTGAAGTATATTGTGATAATATGGCTATGATATTGTACTTATATTGCTTTAATATTGCCTCTACAGTGAAGTATATTGGCCTCATATTGCTATTACATCGTATGTCAATGGCATTTGGTCTAATAACAGTCTCCACTTCGTTCAAAGTAATCCTCAATTCAAATATCACGGGCACGACAATTGTTATCCATCCTTATATTACCATGAATTGATGTTTACCTTTCAAATGATAGTTGGAGTTGCACATCGATTCATATTCAGAAGGCAAGTAATTCTCTCCCTCAATGAATCGTCCTTCAAAATAAGGTAGCTATGAAATATTGGGTACAAAAATGCACGAGCCACGGTAAATTAATTGGGCTCAAACCACATATTACAAAACCAGGATAATTTTTGGCATTCTTGAAAAGAGAAGGGTGAAATACAATAGAAAAGAAAATCCATTCAAGCTTGGCCAATGGAATGCACAATAACCCTTTTACATGTCCTTCCAACACCAGTGTTTTGCCTGCTTTAGGGTCGTCGGAGGAGACCAAATTGCCATTGTGCAATTCGAGGGGGCAGTCAATTTGGAATGGTGCCATAAACATGTTTTCTTCCCCTGACTTTAACTAAATGAACTTTAGTTTAATTACTTGTAAGCTCCAGCTAGGTCCTTCTGTTTTCTCTTCTTCCTCTTCTTCTTCTCATGACTCTTAAAAGGCAATTTGATGTAAAGAAATCCTAAGATTTCCATGTGATGCACAGGCAATTGCAATAAATAAAATATAACAAATAAAGGGATCAATCATTAGTGGTTACATTTAATCTTATCTATGACAAATGTAAGAAGAAAAAAACAAATTTTTTGTCAAGTCTCATCGGATGGTACCGTAGAACTCTAGCTCCATGCGGAATTTGACAGAAGAAAATTTATTCCCAAGTCATTCATATTTGTAACCACTTTGCTTCTTCTCCGAGGAGGAAACAAAAATAATAATAATAATAATAATAATAATAATAATAATAATAAACGGTGTGATTTCAATCCTCTGAGCACGCGCAAAACGTCACTACTGCCACAGGATGGTGACTACAACACAGGGTTGGTACAAACATTAAACAAAAACAAAAAACTGAAAACCAAAAATAGGTAGTGCAATGGAACTACTGTCTCAAACTAACTTAGTCCTCCAATTGTTGGATATAATCAAAGAAATTACTCACAATTTCTCCTCAAACTCGGATAGTGGGGTCATTTGCTCCTTCAAACCCTTCCTCTTACGGATATCTGTCACAAGCTGTGAAGCTTGGGATCCAGCTTCCAATGGATCAGACATCATCATCTCCCAATGATCAAAGACACATTGTGGAAAGGCCTACCCTAAAGTCGAAGCCCTCATTGACCAGAGAACCCAAAACATTCAATGATGGGGAGGTATGCCTTCATATTGTAGAGTGGAGTACCAGGCCTCTGCATTTCCTGAAACAAGTGCCCACGTTTCTGATTAAGAACACCGTAGATACCACTAAGAGTCTGCTCTGGAGCTTGGATTTCAACAAGATATACAGGTTCAAGGAGCCTTGGCTTGGCAGTGAGCTGGGAAGCATAGATGAGCCTTCTAGCAGTGGGAATAACCTGACCACCTCCTCTGTGGATGGCATCAGCATGAAGAACCACATCACAGACTTCAAAGCAAATACCCCTCATGTTTTCTTCTGCCAATGCAAGCTCAATACAGTTTGGTTCTGTAGCTCATAATGAATGAGCAAGCAAAACAGAAATAAACACAAATCCATCAATTTTTTCAGCAACAAGACACAAGCTCCTAAATAAATAAACTAACTGATAAAAACCCTAGTTGACCAAATGCATAACAAAAATTAAAAACTCATACAAAAATAACACCAAATAAAAATGTTGTGCGAGTTCCACTAGCAACGCAGAGTAAAAATTATGAAAATAGTACCTGAAGTATTACGATCAAGTCAGAGAATTAACCATTCTTAAGCATCCATAAACAGCAACTATAAAAAGCATCCAAAACCAGCAACTATAAAAGCATCCATTAACAGCAACTATAACAGCATCCATAAAGAGCAACTACAAAAGCATCCATAAACAGCAACTATATTTACATATGGAGGTGTCCAAAATAGTTAACCTTCAAAATCGAAACAGTGTGTGTGCCATGTAAGGCAATTAGCCACTGCTTCTAGATTGTACAATATTACACCTCGCAATACTAACAAAACCAACTAGCTCTGGCAAAA